TCTCTCTCTCTCTCTCTCTCTCTCTCTCTCTCTCTCTCTCTCTCTCTCTCTCTCTATCTATCTACATATCCAGTAATCTGCCAACGTCTACTTTTCTTTTTTAGAGGCGGGTGAGAAATCATTTTAAGTTCTTTAAACATGTTTCTTTGCTTCTGAAACTTTTTTTGTATCCATATGATTCTCATATTTATCCGTTTGTTTTATTGTGATGGCAATGGTGGCAATAGGTATGTTTGCATTGTTGATGTATGCATTAACTGTATAGAAGTTGTTGATTATTGGCATTTTTTTCTGTGTTGTTAGTTCTTTGGTCGGCTTAACATAATATTGAGGTGGAGAAGCCAGAGAATATCGAACAAGAAGATTTATGAGGAGAACTTTGGTCATTAGGGTTCTAAGAATTTTTGTCATTGTACTCGAAGTAGTTTGATCAGTTCGACCTATGTTTATTGGCCACTTGGACCAAATTGGCGTTGTATATATTATAAGGGTTCTGAGTGATGTTCTAATTTAACGTCTGTTTAATTCTCAAAGAATTTTGGTGAGAAGTCTTGTATTTGACCCCAAGAATTTAAAAAATCTTCAACCCTTGCTTATCAATTTTTGACAGTCCAAAAATTGCACTACAAAATACACTATTTCTAAAACTTGAAATCCATTTTTTCTCATGTACAGGTATCTTGATGTTGAGATGATCAATTTGAGGATATTTGAACATCAAAACGACCTCTTTTAGTTAAATTTTTGAGATAGGCTCTAATTTGATTGTTTAGAACTTCGGCTCTATATAAATTTTTCCCTTTGTTTATTTACTTTATAAATTCCTTTTTATATTGTTTACAAATGTGAGATGGTGAGCAGTATGAAAACCCCCAAATTTGAGTTGATAGCGATGCATAACTATTTGTAACTTTTGATATTAAGACAAGATTTTTTTGCCATTTACAAATGTGAGATGGTGAGCAGTATGAAGACACCCAAATTTGAGTTGATAGAGATGCATAACTATTTGTAACTTTTGATAATAAGACTATTTTTTAAATGCATGGGTTGCTGTTGGTATAGTGGCGCTACAGGCAGGCAGGGAGGCCTATAATTCCATGCTTTAAATGCATGGACAAAGGGGTGTCTGCTTTTGGGTTGCTGTTAGTATAGTGGCGTTGCAGGCAGGCCTATAATTGCATGCTTTAAACGTGAGGGGGGGAGACGGGTGGGGATCATATGAGTTATAGAAAAGAGCGAGAGACAGAGAAAGACGGGATAGAGCGAGCGAGATTGCAACGGAGTTGCAGAGAGAACAGGTGGAAACCAGCGGGAGATCAGAAAGGGGGGTGGGGGTGGGTTCTCTCCCACCAAACCTACCTAGAATACCCGTCTATATGCGTTACGCACCTCCACCGAACCAACCTAGAATACCTGTCAATGTGCGTTACGCACCTCCACCTCCATCTCTCCCACCGAAACAACCTGGAATAATACCTGTCAATGTGCGTTACGCATCTCCACCTCCACCTCTCCCACGGATCGTACCTCGGGCGCATTCCCGACACTTTGCAATATACTGGTTCTTTGGATTTTTAGTTGGTGCGGCGGTTGTAGTAGGCGCTATATTATACGCTATAATTGTTGGAAAGATTATTGTATATAGAGATTAGTAATTACCCGATCATACTAATTGTTTGGCAGATGACGGAGAATTGTTTGCTATTCAGATCAGTTTCTTAATGGAAATATAATGGGAGGTTTTTGAACTTCTTGTTTTGTGATTAATTCGATGGCGGGGAATTCACATGGTCGTCATTACTTTTAGGGCAGAAAACTTAGTCTTCTTTTATCCAAATGTTGCTTATACTTATTGGATGCAAATTTGGAGGCTCATGTGTTGGTGAGCTATGGTGTAACATGGAATGCCAGCGTTTCTTTCCACAATATGCGCCTCTGCCATTTATTTTGTCCTTTTTTATCACTTGAATTTCTTTGTACTTGCGTGTTGTTTCTACCATATGGTTGTATTAGCCCTGAGAAGTTATTTCATGTTCAAAAGGAAACATAATGACAGTTTTTTTACTCTTTCCGTTTTATCAATTGTGGCAAAGCGGTTGGGTAGTCTTCTAAGGAGTTTGAAACTCGTTGGATTTGTTGAAGGCTTTAGCCATCTGGCTCCTAGTGACGATTTGGATGGTGGATGGCATAGTTTTAAAACTCGGCCGACGCAAATCGGACTCGGGCAAGTAATTCAGCCTCGGCTCATAGGTGAGGCGATTTTTGGGTATTACAATTTTTTTTGAAGTTTTAAGTTTATTATTAACGCAAACTCATATTAGATACGTTAAAAAAGCTTATTGTCTAGCTCGACGGATAAACTTTATCCCTCGCTCTTCAAATTTTTTTGCATTGGTAGATGTGTGGCAGCTTTTGGTTAGCTTAGTAGTTTCCAATGATAAAGGTGTATTTATCGGAAGTTTCGAATGCAGAGACAGAGGCAGGAGAGATGATTCAACTTCAAAAGGTGCTACCCTGTGTTATTGTTCGTGAGTTGGATCCTTCATAAAATTTTCCACTGTAATCCAAAGAACATTTTCCTTGGGGAAAAAATGAGGAGAGGAGTTATGGACACAGAGTTCCAGTAGAAATATCAGCTCTCTTTAAGCTCAAGTATAAAGACAAAAGTTTTACTCTTCATTAACAAGTGACATTTTTGTATAGGAAGATAATCACCTTCCCACCTTAAGTTTCTCTCATCTCATTTCTTGAATAAATTCATGAAATGATTTAACCCGATATCTCCATCTCAAGGCTACCCCAGGCGGGGCGGGGCAGGGCGGGGCGGGACGTCTCACTCCCTCCTCTATACGAAGCCTACCCCTACGGTCGGTCCCACCTCGTCATTACTCCATCTTCGCTCCACCTCACTAGAACCCCTCTCTCATGCATACACTTTCCCCTCATTCCGCCGTTCAATTTAGATCAAGTGAGCTACTGGTGTTTGATTTGGATCTAATACCTTGAGTGTTTTATTTTTAGTTTTTTTCTATATATTGTATTAAATATGAAATTTGGTACGTGCTATCATATAAATGGGATGCATATAACAAAAATTAAAAAAGAGTTATCTATATACCTTTTGAAAATTTTAAGGGTATTTTGGTTATTAAATTTTATTGAGAATAATCTTTTTATATTTTTCACCAGTGTGAATATAAGAGATGAGTGGATGCCATAAGAGAGGAGTGGATGCTCAAAATTTGGTGTCAAAATATTTTGTAGAAAAAATTAAAAATAAAAAAATGCAGAGACATAACATTGTAATTAGAGTCACCTCAACTATCCATTTTAATTAGAGTCACCTCAACTATCCATTTTGATGGTTGGATAAGGAGATGTAGATAAACATAAAAATAAAAAGCTTGCCCTTTTCAAAATACTACACAATTTGTTCGCCATTGCATTAAGCTCGTAAACTCTTGAAACTCGTGGTCTGGAGAACTTTAAAAAAATGGAAATTTCTTTGTCACCTCAACCATCCCTTGTTAACAGCAGGAGATGGATAGCGTGAAGGAGCGCTTATCACAAACTACCGCGATTTAACTGGAAATGGTCGAGGGAATACGATTATATTATTTCTCAACCAAATTCATCAAGGAATTAATTTCCAACTGAGCATTGTCTATGCCTCAAACGAACATAAAATTTTTATTTTATCAAATATGTCCACAATTTTCTCCTACAAAGGAACACTCAAGCATGGCAATGATTTTATGCAATGGTTGTACAGTAATAGAGTGCAACAACTTTCAAAATATAACAATTTGTTTAATCCAAAATTTAAAATATATATTTTTTTCGTTTTAATGAACAATCACAAAAAAGAAAAATTTGAAAATACATCGTCAAATTTTTTTTTTTTGCCCAATTAACATACGCCGTTCATTTTGGTGAGATGCTTAGATCTAGACCTTAGAATGATTTTTTCATTTTCAATTTTTTTGGATGGCTTTATTATCATTAGATGAACGATGTTAAAAAACAGAAAAATGATTTTGAGTTTATAAAGGCTAAGATCTTGAAACTCACCAAATGAATGGTCTAGATTCATTTTTGAAGGGGACTCATTTTGATCATATCTAGGTTGGGCCCGAACTTTTTTTTGGGGGGATCGATTATTGAGATGAAGAGAGTGTGTGTGCAAAATTTTGGGTTATACAAATACCGCAGACATGATTTTCTAGAAGTGTCGTTGCATTATACTATGATACAACCCTCGCCTGAAATCACTCATTTTCAAGTATATATGAACTTTTTAACTTTTAATAAATAATAAATGAAAATGTTGCAAAGTTTTTTTATCTAATTTGGTTAAAACCTTTGAAATTTTTGTTGTTCCCCTATTTATTCTCAATTTTAGATTTAGCTTTTCTCTAGTGTTTAAACACCCTTCTCGGATACCCAAAACCCAACCTGCTAGGTTCAAGTCGGCCTAGCTTAGTCAAAACGACAAAAACAAAGAAAAAAGCAAAAATTACCAAAGACACAAAAAAATATAAAATACTTAAAACTAAATTTTAATTTATTTCTTCTAATAAGAGATATACAACAAAGTAAAAATAAGAACTTTTTTTTAAAAAAGTAGAATAAAAGGCAAATAAAATATAGGGAAATAACATGAAATCATAATAGGAGATTCTTTTGTTTTGATTCAAAAAATTAGTTTAATAGGAAAACTTTATATTTGAGAAAATTTGGTGAAAATGAGAGAAATTAAAGATTTTCAATTTTGGGCGATCAAAAGAAATAAAAATATGCAAATCTGAACTAGTGAGTCAAATTAAAAAGAAATAAAAAATAAATTGCCGTATGAGAATGACATCATCGGACAAAAGGATAGTTTGGAAAAAATAAACATATGAGTTGACTGACCTTATAATTTTCACCCAAAATTGACTTTTTACGTAAAGTCCTCAAGGTGACGAACTTTACATAAAAATATTATGATTGAATAAAAACTATCTATCTAATTTTTAAATAATTAGATTAAAGTTTTTATGAGCTGAAATTTTGTTTACATATTATTTTTAAGAGAAAGGTTTCTATGCTTCTCCTACATCATAGAAGTTATATCCTCCCTTTACCATCCAACCATCTAATTTTGATCAAAAGAGTCACTCACCGTTTGATCTTAGATCCGGCGTCTCAAAGTATTTTATTTTTAGTTTTTTATACAAATTGGATGAATATAAAATTTGGAATGTGCCATCCTCTCATTGGGACGCACCTATAAAAAATATTAAAAATAAATTTTTAATAAAATATAATGACCAAAATACCTCTTGAATTTTTTAAGAGTATTTTGGTCATTATATTTTATTAAAAATATTTTTTTTTATATTTTTCACTAGTGCGAGTTTAATAGAGGAATGGACGTCCAAAATTTGATGTCAAAATAGTTTATAGAAAAAAATTTAAAATAAAATAGTGTAGAGAGGTGATATTGTGATTGAAGCAATCTTAACCCTCCATTCAAAATGGACGGTTGGATAAAAAGGAGGATAGAACTTCTAACGGGAGCATAAAAAGCTTGCCCTTATTTTTAAATA